GTCCTAACTACCAGGGACGGGCTATCTGCACATATTGCAGTGAAGTACTACCAACTATAGAGTATGGGAACCCTTGATTCATGTGGGCAAACCTATAAGCTTGAGGCTGCCCAACGGCAGGCACAGCACCTTTCCCTGATGTGTCGAGCACAAATACACTTTCAGAGATATATGCAGCTTGCAGCTGGAAAAAATGGGGCAAATATTCGTAATTAGCAGTACTGTCGTGTGCCAATCTTCACTGACAAGGGTTTGCTGGTATGTGGTTGCGGGGGAGGGGAAGGGGGGGGGACGCATCTTGAACGATGTCTACAGACCAGAGAGTTGATTGTGGCGCATTGCATGCATGGCGCTGTTTTTCAAAGGCGTCTCATTGTCATGTTGTTGAGATCTGTTAGATACAATTTCACTGACTAGTATTGACCTAGCGTGGCTCAGTTTGGTGGAGATCTTAATGACCAATGGCAACTGGACACGCAGTTGTCCTAATTAGCCCTGCTTCTTAGCAGCCTTCACGTTCAATATTGTCGAAGCTAATCTGTGAAGCACTTACGCCAGTTGTCCGAATTTATGTAGGGCTTCCTATTTTGATTGGACTCGCCTCCTATACAAATCAATGCTATGAACATTGCGGCTACATGCTACAAACTGCTGCAAAATTTGCACACTTTTGCCACTGTTCACTTACTATTTCAAAATGTGTTATTTGTTTATTTGTTGCTATCGCTGACTTAATTGCGACCTATTCATGGTTGTCACTACATATTGGAATATTTTATTGACTGGCTATTACCAACAACTCATTATCATAACAACATTCATGCTCATGTGTATTGAAGTATACATATTCTGCATTTGACACCTGCACTCCTGGGTACAAGTTGAAGATTTCTGTGGAAGAATGAAACCATTCACCAGTGCTTTGCAAATCAAGCACATCTATTTCCACTAGCCAAAATGTCTTTCGCTGCTGTCAAGGCTCAAACGCCCTTACTAGTCTTGTGAGGATAAGACAATTTCATAATAAAAGGTACTTCCTCCCTCCGGGAATAAATGAAACAATTTGCTTGAGAGGCTACATTTGTATCACGAACTTCTTAGTTTTCCTTCAAAACTGAACCAAGGCACACATTTACTATGCATTTCGAGATTTTTGCGGACAACGGGTAAGTAGCGGCCACATGACAGTACTTCGAACTCTTGTGATTCACGCCAAAAAGTTAAAGCTTCTCAAGGTCTGGCCGAACAGCCCCCCGTACGGGTCCTTGGCCAGGTCGCCTTGCGACTGGCGGTGCGCAGCCCAGAGTGGATATCTGTTGCTGCTGTCTTTGACGGCAGGTTGAAAACGTTCCTCTCAAAATGGGAAGACCACGAAACCGGGTTGTGTACCGTTCGATTGTTGATCGCCACCGTGGTTTTGATGGCGCAATGGGGACAGCAGCTCCAGATTGGAGACCCAGAAATCGGCGAACTTCACAATCGCAGCTTCTTCGAAAGGAGCCGCCGGCATGGGCGAGGTTGCCATGGGTGATGAGACCACGACGCAAAGTTGGGAGAATGTGATCGCGCCCTCGCTGCACTGCAGCCAGAAGATTGTTGGAATTGGCTGTGGTGGGCACGTGCCATGAGCAACACTTTGCGTGCCACTCACGACGCTTTCAAGATGCCACTGCAATGGAGCTTTGGCCATGCCAATGCAAGACTCAAGAATGCCATCATAGTGACACGTGGGGTCTCTGATAGAGCATTCAAGCCCTACATTGTCATGTTTGGCAGAGTTGATGCCTGTTTAGAAAGAGCACTTGCTTGCATCAGGCGGGCACTTAACTGGAGTCCTGTGCTAAGCACAAAGCTTATGTCGTATGCAAATACCCTGCAGCTAGTCTTTGACCACCAGGAGATCTCTAGGCAGTGGGGGATCACAGGCATGTTGGTGTGCCACTGGGAAGATGGCTGGGATTTCGAGCATACATCAATGGCGGCAAGAAGACCTACGCGCCATCTCTGTTGATCATGCATTGCGACGGTTGTCGATCTTTTGGCTAGAGCCCGAGCGCCGAGGCAACTCCGCCCTTCTGGTACTATGAAGACCACTGGAAGGGCATCACTTGTGCGCCGGGCCTTCCTGGATCGGGGGCGCCAGGTTTTGGTGGGGTGGGGGGACTGACTGCGAATGTTCAAATTCCGGTGCTGAACCGTTCGGTTTCAAAGTAGTACCATATGTCTGAATCTTATTTTCTGTCCACGAATTTTTGACAGCATTAACTAAATGCATAGTAGATACCCTGGTACAATTTCCAACAAAAATAAGTACTACATTATAAGAATGCGGTCAGTCAACAAACTGTTTCACTTAATTCCGGATGGAGGAAGTATTAGCAGATGCGCATGAAAATGAACACCGCCGACCTCACCTTGCTGTCGATCCATGTGCGAAAGCTGGCAACCCGCGTGAAAACACTCGGCTTTTCAGGAGCACCACAAGTATCTTTCTCTTCTCCAAAGGACGTTATGCCAAAAACTATATCGAGACTGGGGTTGCCAGAAGCAAATGTTCTTAACAAGGGCCCTCCACTATCACCTGCAATGCACATTCAGCCAGAAAACGAGGGATCGTTAGACACATTAAAATGTGAAACTGAAGCAAGAGAACACAGGGCACTCGGTGCAGTTTTCATGGAGGGAGGGGAGAGGGCGGTAGGGTGGGAGTGAGCGGATCTTATCCTTAGTCCAGTGCAAAAAAGAGCATATTTTCAACATTCACAACCCCAAACGCAAGGGACAATTACCTAAAAGGGCAGTGTAAACATTCGCTGATCGATGCTGTAGTAACGCCTTACTGATGGTGGTGACAGCTGCAATCCCATATGCCTTTATCTGATTAAGCGATATGTTTGTTATTTTATTACGACTAGTACCATTATTATATATACAATTTTGTGTTTCATTCAAACAACTACGTTACATGTACAGCACCTTTCTGGGTGAAACGCACGACTTGCGCTGCTCGTGTGCTGATCACTATACATGCGCAAAATCGAAATTTCGCTGCATTGGCAGCGATCGAAAATGCAGTCAAGATATAAAATATGTAAAATAGTAGATTATTTAAATAAAATATCATAAAGTATATAAAATAAATGTGGCTCTGAGAGCATATTTTTTCGCCTACCCTGGCAGACCTCTGCTCCAAATAGACTTGCTGCACAGAGCATCGAATCTGTGATGATAGATCCCCACAGATTCTCAGAAGCGCAAACGTCAGAAGCAATTGCCTGCACCGATGATGCCTCTTGCAGAACATTGGCAGGCGTCCCATCCTCCGTCAACCCCCACCCTATGGCTACAAACTGGGTGCCTCGTTCCTCCATATCATTGGCGGTGGGCATGCCAACATGTGGTTTGCTGGACACCTCTGTCAATTGCAGCAAAGCAATGTCGTTTCCTTCTACCACAAGACCCGTCCAATCTTCGTGAATTATCGTTTTCTTGGCCACCATTACCTGTGCAATTTTGACATTATCAGTTGCGGTCAGTTCGCTGTTTGATTCTAATGTTGTTAAGATTTATCTCAGCTTCGATCCAAAAGCCACTGCATGCTGACAGAGACACAATGGGTTCATGAAAATAAACAGCGTTTATACATGCCAGCCTCAAAAACTACAGACGTGGCTTGCAATGGGATTGTCCTTGGTGAATGGAATACGTCCATTCAGTTCTTTTTCGGCTTTGTTGATGTACTTGTTACCAGAGCGCAGACCTCAATAGATGGAGTGTATTGCTAGCAACGGATATGGGAAGAGCCAACATCAAATTTGTTACAAATTCTGCAGACTACGGATTCCCCTAATCTTGCAATCCATTCATTCGTTTGCCCCTGCAAGCGCAATGAAGTTGAAATCCAGGTTCCATGACATGCATATAAGCATAAAAATGTCCAGTAACTTATCAGACAGTTGTTCACATGCCACAGTGCTTCAAATCTCCCAAATCATGACAGCACGTGCTCAGCCCGCGCTCACCTCGACCTTCCCGCCATCATTAGCATCACCTGCATCTTCCTGAAGTGTGCACACTCCAATGAAGGCAATGGGCGTCGCCCCAAGAGAGCCGCTCAATTCAGGATCCACGCAGTGCGCTGCCGTCAACACCCAGTCTGGAGCCACAAGGACACCTCCACACTTGTGCACGTTCGCGCTGTCACGTAGTGACACCATGTAAGGATAGCGACCACATTTCGCAGGCATCCCAAACTGGAAACGCACACCATGTCCTCTGTCAATCGCGCAATTGACACCACCTCGTCCGCGTTGCCACACACACACAATGCTGACAAGATTTTAAACATGCCGACAATGGCCAAGATCATGCAGGGGTTCTTTGGCAGTACGCTCACATGTGTGCCAAGTCCAATGCATGGGAGAAATGGACAGCCTCCTTTTCAACCGCTACGTGTACATTTCGATGCAAACTTTGTTAGGAAGAGCATGTGCATGATGTCCAGCTAGAGCATAGTACCACATTTCAATGCCTCCTTTTTCTTTCATTTTGCGCACGTGGACCAGCACTAGCCAATTGCCGGCCAGTAAAACTGTAGCAGGCTATTTAGAGACATCTGCCCAGCAAGTATGCCACATCTTTCTTGCGCACAACTGATGGTTTTGCAAATGCACGCTGATCATGCAAATCATTGATTTAGATATGTTATCGCACCTATGGTCTTTGACAGAAGAGATGCACAAACTTTCCTTACTGCTTAAATACACATCCTAATCGTACAAAATATGTGTGTGCACCAAATCAAAACCAACGCAGAAGCAAAAGTTAGCAGAGGCATGCATGCAGTATGTGTCTGTTTTGTATGTGCTTATATGCATGAGCATTGTGTGATGTATGTGATGTGTGGATGTATGTGGGTATGTGAATGTGTCGCACAGTGATGCTGGCTTCTGCCTCACCTAAATTATCCGGAAAACATAATAGGGACCAAGAGAACTCACTGCAACTAAGGGCACAAGGTCCTCTGGTGCTGGTTCCTCCCATAAAGTTAAATGCCTTGCTTGCCCTGGTCCCTGATGAATTGTCTCTGTGTTCACATGCACACCAATTGTTTCGGCAACTACTTAATCTGCTATTCAACGTAAGTGTAATAGATTTAACAACAGTGCTTTTACAAATTGCCTAAACAGTGAAGTAAGAAGTACTTCTGACTGAAATTCCAATTTTAGCCCAGGCGGTAATGGTAAAGTGACTTCCTCTCTCTCGCATCCTGGCAGAGCTGTCGATTGATTTCAACGAAAGCACACACCAATTTGGACGCCAGTTCTCGTTTTCAGTGAGTTTGCCAGACTCACCCACATTTGGCACACATAGCAATATTGTGAGAAGATATTCATTTTAAGGCAGCATTTTCCAGATTTGTAGAGTTCCTACAATAGAGAGACTGACCATCTGTAATGGGCTTGTTACTTGCATCAATCACAATTATATTTATGTTTAGCTTACTTGGGAAGGACAATGATGAGCCCCAATGCTGCCACAATAATGGCATCAGCGGCTTTGAGGGAGAGGGCAGACGGCAAAGAACAAACGTTGATTGATGACATTGTCATCATTTGTGGGGGCGAGGTGCACGCTTTCCCACAAGTGTTTGAGGAGGCAGTGAGCTGTAAGAGTGTAGGTGCATTGACAACTTGCATTGACAGTCAAGCGTTTGTCCAGCCCGTTTATGCGTGCACTTGTGCGAGTACTCGTGGTCGTACATATTCTACACACAATGACTTACAATTGCCTTGCATAATTATAGGGCTGCAAACGTTTACGTGCACCAGCTTTAACATAAACACTTACATTGGTTGCACGATATGCATCAGTCCTGCTCTCCCCCACCCAAATATGCATCTACTCAATCCCTGCCACCACTTCGCCCTTACAGAGAGCAACGCTCCCATGGACATTGGGAAACAGAACGTGCCTGACATCGCATGTGCCAACGGATCCACATCTATCTCTTCTTTCTTTACTTCAATGCCCTCATGGACAAGCCATCAAGCAAATTTCATGCCTGGTGCAGCTGATTCAACATTCAAAAGTGACTGCACGTGAAAATCTCGAAGCCCTTACATTGATAAAGATGCGTGAGAATAGAGCCACGTACACATCCCAAGCTGAAACAGTTGCTCAATATTTCAGCTGCTCTGAGAGCAGCTGAACTGGGCGCAAGCTGTCAAGAAATTTGAGAGACTCTGAGATTCAACGTCTTGGCGCCTTGCACATTTCGAGGGCAATCCCACAAAGCACAAAGCACCGACGGCAGTGAACGAAGCAGCATAAATTTCCCATTCATTCTTCATCGCATCAGATGGCGAAAGTCACCAACGCGCACACATTCCCATGAAAATCCTGATGGCTGAGGATGTGGGCATACCTCCTTGCGACTGGGTCCTGGCGTCGCTCGTGTGCAGTAGATATGTGACGAAAACCGCACAAGTTATGGCCGCAGCTGTGTGTCGGACAGTCATCGACGCCCTCAAAATCAGTGAGTCTGAAGGAGGCGCTGAAACAATGCGACACCCTCTTTCAGACGAATTCGCACATTGACCAATTTGCATTCACAACTTTTGTGTTCGAAGTGCCTGGCATTTCTCACGTGCTCGAGCAGCTGCCTTTTTATGAGCGGCGAACTCAGACAGCAAGCAACGTCAATTGCGCAGTCTTCGGGAGTCCAAGCAGAAGCAACATCTCCCACCGGTGCTCGCATGACCGCGCAGTTTGGTGTGCAACATCCTTTCGTGCCAGTTTGATGTGCGATAGAAAAGAGCGAGGGACACTGGGGTGCGCTAAAAGGCAAAGAGCCTACTGGACCAATTGACATGTTGTGGTCCCTGTCGCAAGGAATTTTGGAAAGAGCCAGGCTTTGAGAATCCCACACACGTAGCACACTGAAGACAAATGCAATACGAGAACTACACAGTCCAGTACACTATTGGTGCTGATGACGGTTGTCACAATTCCATACTACACAACACAACTTTGTGTGCCACGCAAAAATGGAACGGCGAGCCGAATTTCCGTTGCACCTCTGACAGATTGAATCACTCGAAGTCTGCTCTACAGAATCTGTCCACAGCCACTCATGGTTCAGGGCTGAGTCTGACTTGCACGCGGTGGCCTGCAGTGCGCAAGAGCCCCGCTTCGTCTGGCAACGGCAAACTCAAACCGAGGACAGAGACCACTTCCCACGGGCTGGTTTCTGTGCACCTTTACGACATCCCGTCAGCCAGACATGCCATCGCTCTGAGGTACTTCAGCGCGCAAAGGGCCAGCAAGTTTGGCTCGCTGAGAGTGCGGTTGGGCCCCGGCATGCGGTGTTTGACACTGTGGATTCCGCCGTGGCTTCCTCTACTGTGATGTAGCGGTTCGCGCTGCCGCCGATTCATTTTTTGATTGAACAGCAAATCTTTTCATGATTTTGGGCAGTAGTCAGGCACCAAAAAACACCCGCTGTGCGCCCCGCCCTCGAAGGCCTCCCTCCAACACCCCTGGGCAAGACGAACTGGCTCCGTTCTCCGCCTCCGCCGCTGGAGACCAAAACAGCAGACCGACGACGGCAGGCGGGTCAGTCCAACGGCAGACGGGACCGACTGAACGCCGCCAATCCCACGACTTGGGAGGACCGCCGCCGCGGTTCGGGCGCCGCGCCCAGGGCAAGCTCCGCGGGCGCCATTTTTCGCGCTGAGTTCTTCATCCCTTTTTCTTCTCCTTTTTCCAGCCGCCGCTGTTGGCTACTCGAGGGCGGGGGGGCAAGGGCGGCCGCGAGCTCACCACCAGCGGCTCGGGCGTGTCGCACGGGATCGGCGCGCCGGTGCCCTCTGGTCGGATGGCGTCCGCTGGCCGAAGGCGCGAGGGCTCTCGACTGGTTCCGGAGGGGTTGGGGTGGGGAGGGCCGGCACTGAGCCTGGGTAACCCTAAGAGGCCGAGAAAAATTTGACCATCCCGCGCTGGTTTGCCGGCATCTATGGGACGGTGTCACTGCCCTTGGCCGTACAATCTTCGGCTCCTCCCCCCCCGCGGGAATGTGGGCGCCACTGCTCGTAGAGGGGAAGGATGGATGGGGTGTGGAGGGCGGCTCAGCCCGGGTAGCGCGAGACGCCAAAAGCGGCCATCCCGCGCTGATTTGCCGGAATCTAGGGGTCCGGCGCGCCCGCCCTACGCCGTGCCGCCTTCAGCCCCGGCGGCGTTTTGGACGCTGCTCCTCGAGGGCAAAGAGGGGCGGCGTGGGGCGGGGGCACTTTACCAAGATTCTGCTGGACGGCGAAGACGGCCGCTGATGAGCTCAGCCGGGGGCCGGGGGCAGCGGCACCGCGCCCTCCCGCCGGCTGCCGCGCAGGTCCCCCTCCCTGTGACCTGCCCACCACCCCCACCTCCTACAGAGCGCGAAGGGGAGGCCACCGAACAAAGCCCGGAGCCACGATCTCAGGAAAACGGCAACGGCGACAGAGTTTGCGTGGGCAGGCGGGCAGAGGCATGGACTGAACAAACAAGTCAGAGTTTGCGGGCGCCCCCCAGAGCGAGCGAGCGCGGCGGCTGTAACGGCCAGAGAAAGGGGGAGGGGGCGCACCTGGGGCGGAGTCCGGGAGTTGGGGAGCAGAGCAGCCGCGGCTCAGGATGTTGAAGGCGAGATCGTTTGGTAGCGCCCCGTCGTGCTGTCAAGTCATTGGGTGTCTGCCCAGGGGAAACGGGGGTGGGGCTCTTATGCGACAACTACTGCGACTCGGGGGCCGGCGATAATTGGTGAGCGTCGGGGAATGTCTGCCGCACGCGGCCCGCCGTACTCGAGCGCGTAAACACCCGCGCACCGCTTGGGTGCCGCACAGGCAATTGGGAGAGTGTCATGACGTACACCGGGTGAAATATAGTTGTGCAGTACAGATGCAGTGATACAGAGTACGGTGCACCGGACCCAACGCCCGCGCCAGCCCACCTGGGTGTGCCTGTGCCTCGCAGCCCCGGGCCACCGGCTTCGTGGGGCCATGCGCGGTGCCCCTTGCGCAATGGCCACCGGCACCGAATCCACTGGGCGCCGGCATATCCCAAGGCAAGTCGCGCACTCACTCCAAGGTGCGTCCGTCCAATGGTCTGCTTCGCCTCTGATGTTTGCATTGGTTCAACGAAGTTGAACGTGCGCCAGCGACGCCGTCTTACTGCTCGCGTCCATTTAACCCGCGCGGCCGTTGACCAGAGACATGTGCCAAGAATTGCCATTCAGTACCCCGTTGCCCATGTCCACCAGCAGGTTCGGCAACCAAAAGCGAGGCATGACCTTGTGACCGCTGCTCCGCGCTCCACAGCCTGCGGTTTGAACACCACTTTCAAACTGTGCACCTGGGCGTGGAGCGTCCTTACTCCGGTGGTTGGACTGTGGCACTGGCAATGCAATTTTAGGTGCCACAGCGTATCTGCAACGAACGAGCTTCTGACACGCACAGCCTTGTGCGCATGATATCCCCTTCTTCTGAAGAAGGCCTTCGTGGTGGCTTGACGGATCATCCAGTGTGGCAGCTTAGGGGTTTTGCCCATTGTTTTGACGCGTTCCTCGTTTCCACAGCGAAACCATCCCATCTTTCCCTCCAACGTTCCTCCCAGGCTGTTCTTCCTGCGCTCCCTTGATCCGGATTGGTCCAGTTATCTTACTGTTGACAGCCCTCAATGGTGCGCGCGCTTTCCTGTGGCGGGCTCACGCACCCACGTCCTGGCACGACGGCTTGCACAACTGTGACATCCAAACCAAACCGAAGAACCGTGCGAGTATGGCTGCATACCTGGCACAGTCCCTCGCCGAGGGAGTTTTGAACTGTGTTTCCATGGCGATGCAGCCCTTTCGGTGATGGTTGCCATCGAGGAATGAGTGCTCCTGTGCCTGGGCCACCGGCCCTGAATCGTGGCGATTGAGGCAATGCAGTTTCCACGTTTGGAATCAATGATGGTTGGCCAACACCAAAGCAATACTGGAAAGGATTGGGTGGCACGGCCAGAGCATGCCTCTGTTGCCGTTGGACTTGCGCCATGCGGTTTATGCCGGCGGGCGCCATACCAGTTTGGTGGCGGGTCGATTAGGGGTGAGGCTGCTTTCTTTATGTCGTTTTAGGCGACATCGGCTTGGCGGTATGTCTGGGCGGTGCATTGCCCCTATCTTTGTTACATCCCATATTCAACGCGAACGAAGATCTGCCCCAGTGCGCAGGGCACTAAACTCCCAGACACACATGTTTAGCATGCGGCAGGCCGTGACTGTGATTAGTAACACATAAGAATGGCGGCTTCATGGGAATTGACTGCAACACATGAACATGAGTGCCGAATTGGAGACTTAGCTGTGCAGCAGCAGAAACTCAGCGGGAGCTCGCCAAACTTGCAAAACCTGTGACATTCAACAATGAAGGATTGCCGCGGACCTGCATCCCATTTGCGAAAGAAGCGCTTCGCCCCTGTTCTTCATTCAGGGAAGATATGCCACGTGACTGCTGGTTGGGGTGGATTGCCTGGGTCTCCGCGTTACCAAAATGAGGATCCAATCCATTGTACGAAATTCTGACACTGCCATTGACAATTACCACATCATCAAGCCCAGAAGCCTCTACCAACCCAGCATTGTCAAATATGTGGATTGCACCTTCGACAGCAGCAAGATTGTTGAGCCACTAATGCTCTAAAGGTTACCGCTGCTTGTAACCACCAGGTCACCATCAGTTTCAAGCAGGCGCTCAAATCCTGCAAGCTTTTTAATGGAAGGATTGTTCACCAGTCGTATGCACTCAAGAACAGATAACATGTTGCTAAATTTCCCAACGCTTACAAGCTTGGTATTGCCAAAAATTGAAATGTCCCTTTCCGCACTGCCCAGTGTCTCAAATGCACTGATTCTATGTACAAATGGGTTGTCACGAATCTCAAGCCTATCCATAACTATTTTCAGTTTACTTGAGACTGTCACATTTACGAGATCAGCGTTGCCAAAAATGGTCAGCTCCTGGTTCACCTCCAGCAGCCTCCCAAAGACATTTACGGTCATCAAATTATGATTTTTGCTGTTGCGCACACCATATCCAATGCCAGCCAGGCCGTCAAGCCCGTAAAGATTGACAAAGTCTTCATTGCCAGATAAATTTAAATTCCCGCCGATCAGTTTGAGGCTTTCAAATTTGATGTCATTTATCGATATTGGGTTTCCAAGAATCTCTATATTGCCACTCACATTTGGAACATTTTGAAGCTCACCGACGTCCATAAATGCAGTGTTGTTACCAATAACTAGCATCTCATCTATTGTGACAAGGCTCTCGAGTCCAGTCAATTCCGCCAACAAACTTTTGGCTTCAATGAAGAGGGACCCAATGGCCTGTAGCTTGCTTAGAGGCCGCAATGAGTTGTCAGAGGTGTTCTTCAAGATAAATTCTCCCTGCCTCATTCTCTCAAATATCCAATGAAAGATTCCACTGAAGCAATGCCAATCCCAGTCACGTACAGGGAATGGGCAGTCACAGAGTCAGCTCCTAG